ATGATTCAACTTTTTTGCTGTTATTGCTAGTGTCAGCCGTCTGTGAATAGCAAGCGGCCATCTGGGCACTAACGATCAGTCGTTAGGCTGATGGTCCTCCTCCATCATGTGAACAGCTAGTTCTGGATGTCAACAACAAACTGGTTGATCCACCATGAGAAGGTGCTATTTATAAGACTGAGTTTGTTGCAGCTCCTCAGACTGAAGAAGTCCTTTGGATAAAAGACGAAACAAGAAGAGGAGACTTTTTTTTTTTTTTTTTGAACAAGTTCCCTTCTTGAATTGTAACCTTTTATGTCTCTGGATTTACCGGCAGTTTTGGAAAAGTAGAATTCAGAAATCCAGAAGAAAACATGGCTGGAGCAAAGAATCCTGGATTAAGAGGCTTCACAAGTCGGTGATCTTAAACTATCCGGCTCGAACATTTCCGTGACTTTGATTCTAACAGATTAATGGGCCTTGTTAAAGGGCTTACTGGTAGATAAAACAAGACGGCACATTACATGTCCATCAACAAACAACGGTCCGGACGAGCAAAGACCTGTGACCTTACAGCGGAGGTCATGCACGGATGGAGACATTTATGAGCTCCTCTGCAAAAATTAGGGTGTAACGGAGCCACTGCTGAATATAATTACCAATAAACAAAGGCTTCATTTTTATGAGCGATATCTCAACATATCGCTCGTTTGGAACAACTCAATAAAAGTATTTTCTCTAAAATAACGTTTTTAAATTCACAGCGGAACGAACCACAAGACGTCTGGAACGTCAGCTCTTGGCCAGGCGAGACCAAATCAGTAAACGCCTTTAACTTTTGGGCACGGTGATGGAAAGGTGATGGTTTGGGCTCGTTTTGAACTCTGTGTAGCGAAAGAAGAGCGAGATCTGAGATTGTACTGACCGAATGTTCAGAGTCTGCAATTTATACCACGACCTCCAACATTTAATCTTATAATTAGCATCAGAACGGGTTTACGGTCTCTGAATCTCGTCATCTCTACAAGTTGTTGATTTTTATTTGGTCTTTTAAACGGCGCAATCGTAAATTTTTAGTCATCAAGTCGGGACACAAATGGATTCCTTCTGATGCTATTTTGAGTTTTCAGATTCATCCTGGAGAGGCTTGAATGCGTCTCTGACCTTGTCATTTTGCGGCACTCCGAGGACTAATCCAGAGTGACAGACGATTTCTATCCAGGTCAGTCAACATTTGGCTCACTGCAGTTCAGAGTTTGAGATGAAAAAAGGAAGAAAATCATATAAAAAGATTATTTTCACCCAACGAGTCTAAACTTATTATGTTTTAGGGAAAACAGTAATGAAATTAAGTGTTTGGAGAAAAATTAAAGGGATCTTCGATTAGTAGGAACGAAAAACTTTTTTTTTTTAAATATTCGTTTTAGCTATAAAAACAGGAACATTAAACTACTGTAGTTTAGTTTTTATAAATTATTAAGTATTAATGACAGAAATTTCCATGTTCTTCAGGCTGCAATGCATTCTGGGTAAATGGTAGACTGAGAGCCAAGTCCAGCTTCAATGTTAATTTTGGACAATTGTCTGATGTTCCGTCTTAATTTGAGCCGGAGCGCATCGACAGAGAGGAGAACGTAGAAATGACTCACCCGCCAGCTGAAAATGATGATGACGAGTCAAGAGCTGCTGATGAGAGAGATGATGCTGCAGAGAGCTCCGCTTTCTATAACAAGTTCATCACAACAAGCATCGGGGCCAAAACATGTTCTCTACAAGAGATTGATTGAAAGACACTCACTCTACACACTCAATTCATCCACCCAGGGGGCCCTCAGCTTTAGCCTTTTAGCTTTCTAGCTTATATATGCAGCGTTAGCTCCAGAGCTAATATATGCAGAGCAGATCTAATATGCACAGTGTTAGCTCCTGAGCTAGTAGATAAACAGAAGTTAGCCCCAGAGTTAATATATGCACAGTTAGCTCCAGAGTTAATATATGAAGTTAGCTCCAGAGTTAATATATGCACAGTTAGCTCCAGAGTTAATA